AAAATATGGGACATAAAAGATGATAATTTTTCAAAGCTAATATTGTATTGGTTTTACCTCTTAGCTCTGGATCTAATGCTGTAAAAACTAATTAGATATGAATTTTTAAGCGGCGGTAATTTCTGTTTCATATGCTGTGCTGTATTAGTATAAGCTTTCATCAGAGAAATTTGGAATTCTTTTGCTATTGGATGATTTTTGATAATTTCTTCAGGAGAGTGGAAGCTTCTGTACCAGTAAATATTACTTTGCTAGGTAGATGGAATTCTGGATTTGTGACATCAACCTTTAATAAATCATTATAAGATGTGCACTCTATATTTTCTGGCTTCATAAAAAAAGAGAAATATTTTGCCATCAATTTATAAATACTGGAATGTATTAAATGAAGCACTGGTTTTTTTTGTTTCAAATAATTTAATATACGTGTTGAACTCTGGTAATACTGCTGAATATAATGCCATATGCAATAAAGTTTTGTTTTGCATAACAATATGGAATATTATTATCTTCAATAGTACTAACAACTGCTTTAAAAACAGCTTCTGAATTGCAAGATTCCATATTTAGAGATGCAAAATGATGAACTACAACTTCATTTTGATTGTTGTCATAAAACTGCACCAATATTGCCAGTATACTTTCTTGAGCATTGCTAGTACTTTCATCCAAATTTAGAGAAAATGGAGTCTCCTTTAAAGTTTTAATGATATTTTCCTTAATAGTTTTTGAGAGCCCATATTTCATCTTATAACATGCAGTAGTTCTGGACATTTCCAACGAGTTTAGTGCCGTCTGATCGCGGCTCAACTTTAAAGAGTTCAATTAAATTGGGAGCTACATTGAAAGAAAGAGAATTCTCGGCGATAACGAAGTTATTAATACCTCTTGGCGTGCTTTCTTGTCACTATATCCAATGGCCGAGCATCAGTCTCCAGTAAGTCATCAGTATTTTTTGAATTAGCATAATTACTTAAAGTCATTGAATGTCTAATGCACTTTCAAAATTTTATGTGCGTCACAGTTTTAGAATGATTTGTGAAAGCCTTGAATCCTTCCCCACCATACTTCAGCAGTGAGTTACAAAAAACACAATATGCTTGTCCAGCAACATTTATTTTCTTGCACCATGTGCCGATGGTATCCCCATTACCATCTCTCCGTTCAATCCAATTCCACCTAAATGCATTCCGGACACCTTCTTCTAATTGTATAATATCACTATTTATATCGAGAAATTTCATAGTGAAATTCTCTTGCGTACATAAATAAAAAAATATTTCAATAAACGAAACGAAAAATTTACATGTGCATCAATAAATGAAACGAAAATTTTACACAGCGGAGAAAAAAAATGTTGAGAAGCGATCAATCACAAATAGCTAATACAGCGAAAAATCCCTCTTCTCGACTTATTGGCGCCACGCCAGGAGAGATAAGACATTTGAACCCAGAGTCACATGATCGCACATCTGGTCGAACGAAGTCTCTCCCTTTTTTTTCTGCCGCGCCTACTTGCCGAAAAGAATCCAGAAGAGAATGTCCGAGAACCGGGGGAATGAGTCATAACTCGCAATAAGGAAAGAACAAAAAAGAAGTTTCTCCCCCCTTTTCACACATTATCACTGCCTTTGGAGAAAGAAAGGAAGAGTTTTCACTACACACACTGACCTTGCATTTTCTGCTTTCAAAGCAAACAAAATTACCCAGATCAAAATAAATAATTCATTATTATTCCTACTTCCTTTTGAACGACAATCCCCGGAATTTCTGGGTATCGAAGTTCAAAATCCCCGGAATTCCGGGGTTTCCCCAGGGCACAAACACCCCTGTATATATATAAATAAAATAATGTGTGAGAAAAAAGAAGTCCCATTATTGGATTGCCACCACGGATGAAAGCAAACTAAAGAAACTTTCAAAATCAATCATCACATTGGTGTCAGATGTGGGATCACTTTGTCATCGTGGAATCATCAAGAAGATAAGAGGTAGGCAATAATGTTATCTGACTTGATTTCTTCTCTTATTGCATGAAAATAAGATAAAATGTTTGCTGTAAAGAAAGCGATCTCTATTTTACTTCGAAAGGAAAAACGCTTACGCAGACAGTAATGAGCGATGCAGCTGCGTTTCTCGGTCAACAGTTTCGAATTACCAGCACAGAGAGAATAATTCAAACCCAGGGGGTAAGACCCCATAACCACTCCCAAACTAGAAGCAGCTAGGAAGGGGAAAACTTTCTCTGATAAGCCACGGGGCCTTCGTACAAAGCAGTGCTATATTTGTGGCGACCAAACGCACTTAGCGCGAGAACTGTCCTCAGAAGGCTAACCAAACAGAAAAGAATGTTTCGACTCAACAGGGGAGAACAACGACGTGGTAATTGCGAAGGTGATTTCGCGCAACTTCGGGAGTCTGTCGTAAACAAGTAAACGCATCGGAAGTTATTCAGCCCCTGAGATTTATTACGGTAAATGTGAATGGAAGGGAGATTGAATGTATTGAAGATAGCGGAACCCAGATTACCATCTTAAGACCAGAAAATGTCCCTAATGTAAATGACGATTATGGAGTCATCACTTTGAGTTCAGCTTTCGGGAAAGAATTAAGAGCCAAGTTAATTAAGACTTGCTTTCGGGAAAGAATTAAGAGCCAAGTTAATTAAGACTTTTATGTCGATAAGTAAGGGTAGAAGCAGTACATTAACAACACCTATAGAAGTTGTTGTAGCAGTCACAGATAAACTGAAAGGGCCAGGGTTAATTCCTACCAATGTATTAAAAATGATGGAGAAGGAATATGAAAACCTCTTTACACCGTTAACATTTAGAGATTCAGAAAAATCAGACAAAGGGATAGTAGTCGAAAAAAGCCTAGACTCGAGACAACAGATGATGAAAGTTAGCGCCAGAATTTAAATGTAATGAGAACACCTTCATTAGAAAATGAAAACAACAGAATTATATCGGCTAATATTAAGGTAAATAATGAAGAATTTAAAGAAACAATGTCACAGGCAGAGAAATAGGAAAGGAAAAAATTGAAAGAAGAACAGAGGGAATGTGACGATTTAGAGACTGTCAGGTCAAATTTAAAGGAGGAGAAAGGAAATTTTCTTTTAATTGACGGTTTGATATATCATAATGACAAGGTTTCGGGTAAAAAGGTATCTCAACTGGTATTACCCGCGAAAAGACACTCGAAAGTTCTTCAATTAGCACACGAATCAGTCTTCAGTGAACACTTAGGAATTTAGAAGACCAAAGAGCGGGTTCGATATAACTTTTATTGGCCTTCCATGGTTAAGGACATTGCAGAGTAGTGTAAATCTTGTGAAAATTGTCAGCTGAGAAATCCGGAAAGAACACATGAGAGAGCACCTATAACCCCAGTGTGCGGACCGGATTTGCCATTCGAAGTCGTGAACATGGATATTATTGGTTCTATCAATCCACCATCGGGTCGAGGACATAAATATGTGTTATGTGTGATGGATCACCATACACGATGGTCAGAAGCTATACCTATAACTTTTTTTAGTCCTAAGTCTACGTGTGAAACACTATTGCAAATATTTTCTACGACAGGAGAACCAAATATAGTAGCAAGCGATCAGGGAACTAATTTTACTTCGGCATTGACCCAGGAATTTCTTAGAAGAAATGAGGCATCCCCGAGATTTTCATGTCCAGGTCATGCAACTAGCAATGGTTTAACCTTCCAGCGGGCGCGCGTATGTGTGAGATACACTACATATTTTTTTTCGCATTTGTTTTGTAGGCCAGAGGGCGCTATGACCGCATGACCTTGGCTATTCTCTCCTCTTCATTCGCCTTTCTTTCAGTCGTCTGCTGGATTTCGAGGGGTTAATGCGAGTCTGCAGATTTACTATTTGTATTCCAGAAATACGCACGACCATTGAAGTAAGTTTTTGTTATATCTAATTTCCTTTTTTATTATAGAAAATCTTTATTCTTTTGCATCTAAATCTTATGATTTTATATAATTTGTGTGCATAATTACTTTTAATGATAAAATAGAAGCACTGTATGCGTCACGTATGTGCGACCATGTATGATATTTTTTGTTCTTTTCTTTTCAGTTATGGCAAATAAAAGTAAAATACTCGACATGAATAATCCAAAGGATCTTGAGATTATAAGAAATATGCTTTTATATGACAGTGAGGACGATGAGGACATTATTTTAGATGAAAGCATTACAGATGAAGAACAGCGAATTTCAGAAAGAGAAGGTGACTCAGAATCGGAGACAAGTGCAGAGAGCAATTCTGAAGAGGAAAATAATGATGATAATTCTTCTGAAGTGTATATAGCTCATCAAATAAAAAACAGAAAAGTCACTGATTCTTGGACATGGCATAAAGAACCATTTAAGAAAACTAAAAGGGCGCCTCCTAACATATGTGTTCATATTCCTGGAGTCATCGGTGAAGCTAAATATCTAACAGACATTTTGGATATATGGAAATCCCTCTTTACTGATAGTATGATAGAAATCATCGCTGAAGATACGAATAAGTTTATTTCTTCTGTGAGGTCTAATTATTCTCGTATAAGGGACAGCAGAGACACGGATGGAGCAGAAATAAAAGCTCTTTTGGGCTTACTTTACTTAGCTGGTATTTATCATGGTAACAGAGTTAATCTTGAGGAACTGTGGAGAATGGATGATTTTAAACTAGTAATGAACTTGAAGAGATTTTTGTTTTTATTAAGAGCTTTACAGTTTGATGACATAAACACAAGAGTAGAACGAAGAGGAGTCGACTGCTTGGCTCCAATAAGAAACATTTTTGAAAAGTTTGTCTCTAATTGCCAGAAGTGCTATTCACTTGGAGAGAATATCACAATCGATGAGTAATTGGAAGGATTTCGAGGAAGATGTGGTTTCATTCAATACATTCCTAAAAAACCGAATAAATATGGCATAAAAATTTATGCCATGGAGACGCTCGTATGTTTTACACATACAATATGGAAATTTATGCTGGAGCGCAGCCAGATGGTCCTTTTTGCATAAGCTACAAACCACAAGATGTTGTAAAAAGGTTGACAGAACCTATTCATAACACTGGAAGAAATGTAACCACAGACAACTGGTTTTCAAGTTTTGAGTTAGTACGAGATCTAGATGAAAAGAAACTGACGTTTGTAGGTACTTTGAAAAAAAATAAACCTCAAATTCTTGATCAGTTCAAGCTGACGAAAACTCAGGAACCCAATACGAGTCTTTTCAGATTTAGAAAAAATATGACACTTCTCTCCTATGTACCAAAACGTTATAGAAATGTTATATTGATTTCAAGTCTTCATGATGACGTAGCAATAGATAAAGATACCAAGGAGCAAAAAAAGCCTGAGATTATCACATTTTACAATCGTACCAAAGGAGGTGTGGATACAGTGGACAAACTCTGTGCTTCGTACAATGTTGCCAGGAACACCAGGCGTTGGCCTCTTGTAGTTTTCTTCTCTATGCTGAATATAGCAGCAATCAACAGCTACATAATTCATTCAACGAATAATAGTGAAAAATTACTTAGAAGGCAATATCTGCGAAAGCTAGCAAATGCTCTTATGAAGGAAAACTTTGAAAGAAGAAGCCCTACCCCTCTTCAAAGTGAGCTGAAATTAAAATAGTTGAAACGAAAATCAGAATTAGGTGTTGTTGAAGAAATGACTTCAGGGAAAAAAAGATGCAAACCCTGCCAAAATGACAAGCGCACTAGAATTACGAGGTTCAGCTGTGAGATTTGTTTGAAATTCATTTGTCTAGAGCATTGTAAACATATTTGTTCAGACTGCAGCGATGCAATGAAGTGATTATGAAATTGAATTTTTATGTAACATTTAATGTGCTTTTCCACTTACTGATTAAAAAATATAAAAGTTCAGTTGAAATATTGGCAGTTTAATTTTGTTTTACTTTCAAGTTAGTTTGGTAAATCTTTAGTCCTTTTTATACTGTTTTAGTGTTTTATACTTATTTTATTTTCCTTAATTTATAGTTAATATTGTTTACCTCAATTGTACTTATTAACATTTAACCATTTAGAAAATAATTTTAATATTTTTGCTCTGGAAAATTTATTTTTTATAATAGCGTATCTAGGAAATACACGCGACCTTTCTTGTTGGTGTGGAAGGCGCGCCCGCTGGAAGGTTAAAAGAACAATGGAATAGAGTCCTTAAGAATATGCTACATCAGGGATGTCAAACTCATAGGTACACTTGGGCCAAACAAACAAGGTTTAACTTTAGGCAGGCCACAAAAATTTAATTTTACTACCACTTGGTTTTGATATAGACATACTGAATACAAAGGGCTGGAATAAACACGGTTAATGTTAAAAAGTTTACAAAAATTTACTCTTTCCACAAGAGATAAATCAAAATGCTGAAATATTTCTTCAAAAATATTCTAACAATATCACAAAATGTCAAATGTTTAGCAAAAATCAATTCAAAACAGAGAAACTAATTCTATCTCACAGCAAAATCGCTACAAATCAATCACAGCATTAAGTAAACAAACAGTTCGCTAGAACTACAGCTACTACTGAGATGAGTTGTTTGTTCTCGGCTTTTATAAGCTTTATAATTAATTTCTCGAATATACTGGAAACATCTATAAATATCTGGATTTTTGTGGATGGCAACAGCAATTACGAGATATTTATTTATTAGGTATTAAATGCACGCGCTGTTCTATTTTTAACCTTCCAACGTAGCTGTCTTTTCAAAAATCGTCTGCGTTGCTAAGGCAACATGAAGCAAATCTAATTACAATTCTAAATAAAAAAAACTAAATAAATAAATAACTATGAAATCCATAACATATGAATTAAGTAATAATTATGAGACCATGAGTTCGGCCACATTCGGCTATCGGGAGATACGTACAAGTTCTGAGTGCACGTGTCCCCCAAAAGCCGAAGGTAGCTGAACGCAAGCTACTCACACGCATTTGTAATTTAAGTAGTGTGTGTGTCAGCTCGCTGTGAGTAATCTAACAACACTGAATAAATTATCGTTAATTACTTAGCAGTAAACATTTCATTTTTTTCTTCGTCAATATGTTATTTTATTATTATATATTATTATTTGCCGATATATTGGCCGGACCACAAAAAATATTTGTTGTGGGCCGCATGCGGGCCGCGAGTTTGACATCCTTGTGCTACATCATGTAATACGAGAAGACCCCGGAAGATGGGACAAACAAATTCCATTTCTATTATTTGCTTATAGAGAGGTTCCAAACTGCACTATAGGTCTGATGTGCGATAGTCCTCCTGATTATAGGTGCCATCATTATGTGGACTCTGTGTAACTTTAAGTGACATTAATGGTGAACTAAGCAATTCATATCGGACTAAGTGGACAATTTATGTGGTTCTATGTGCCTTGAACTCTGTGAACTATATTGAAATAAGCGACTTTATTCTATATCTGACTAAAAACACTAAGTGGAAGCTTAAAACCATGACAAAAACACATCCCTCTTATTGCTATTTTTGTTATATTAAATAACCATATCTATCTTTTATATCTTACAGGTTGAATGGACATTAGATTTCTCATATGGTTATTAAATATATTTTAATCAAATTTTTAATATTTCATGCTTTGGTATTTTATGTTTAGATATGTTATGCAGAGTTAGTGGTATGATATAGTATTTGCTATGATTTCTATGAATTATTAGAACATTTTTTATGTCTTTTATATAAATAGTGATTAATCTATTGATAATTGTAATGAGCAAGGTAGAAATTTGAATTGTATGAAAAATTATTAACCCCTTAACTGCCGCGGGCGTATATATACACCTTGCTCAGCCAATGCGTTAACTGCCCCCCAGATGCGCAGCCGATGCGTTAACTTTGCGAATAATTTTAGGTGTAGCAGCGCAAAGCAAATGATAGCAGTTTGGAAGGACGTATATATACGCCCGCGGCAGTTAAGGGGTTAATGAAATTTATACGAATTGATGATAGAAATATTTCATTGTATCAGACGGTTATCAGACATGTGATCTTGGGTTCGCACCCCAATCCCAATCTTAGGTGGGGGTGTAATGTCGGATACCTCCCTCCCCTGGTATTCGAGGTAAATAGTTTGTACAATTGCCTCTGGCGATTGATTGCCACAGGGGAGAGTCAGTTAGGGTTAGGACAGCGTCGGAGGTGATTGCACGATTATCACAGGCGTGCACTCACCGTATGTCTTAATAGGACTACACGATAATATGCAGGCATGTACTCTCCAATTGACTTTAATTAATGTTAATCTTATGTAAATATTTTGTAATCTAATTAATACCTCTATATATATATATATATATAAAATAATGTGTGAGAAGAAAGAAGTCCCATTATTGGATTGCCACCATGAATGACAGCAAACTAAAGAACCTTTCAAAATCAATCATCACAATATATATATATATATAATTTAATTTAAATTTGTGTTTATTGTAATATTTAGTACAATTCTGTCAGCAGTTTATCTAAAATAAGAACAGAATTCAGCAAAATATATTTAATATACACATTAATCTGCTCAACCAATCACAATGAAATTATTATATATATATATATGTATGTATGTATATCTATACAGGGTGTTTCATAGATCATGGGACAAACTTGGAGGGGTGGTGGAGCGTACAAAAGCAAGCATTTTTTGTATAGGAATGTAAGGTCTAAAGTGAAGGGTTAGGGCAGGAACACAAAAAAAAAAAAAAAAAAAAAAGATACGAGAGGAAAAAGTGTCATGTACAAAAGCAATGCAAAGTGCTTCTTTGCAGCAAATACAGTATTCACAATAAATGTTCAAAAAAGAGAACACTAACAGTGATAGGAACTACAGTTGTGATTGGCTGGCAATGCAGTGGTAGAGAGCGGTAGTGAGCCGGACAAACCACGATCCGATGCATCAGAGGATCATTCGCATCTCTGATGTCGAGCATGATGGGCGAGTTTACGCACAGGGGAAAAAGCTGACATGCATCTCATGTATGATGCTGTTAATGGGAATGGCAGAGCAGCATTACAATTGTACCAGGAACGGTTTCCGAACAGGCATATGCTGAAGCACACAATGTTCAAGAGGTTGCATCAGTCTCTGTGTGAAAACGGATCTCAGAGAAGTACAAGAACTACTGCACGTCATCTGCAGCTGACTCATTCCACTGTTTGGAGAGTATTGCATGAAAATGGTTTGCACCCATACCATTTGCAGAGAGTCCAAGCCTTGCAAGAGACAGATTACCTTCTTCGGGTTCATTGGTTCTTGCAGCAGTGTGCAGCGCAGGCGGATTTCCCATCGGATGTGCTATTCACGGATGAGGCAACTTTCTCACAGGACGACACTTCATTAGCCATAACATGCATGTGTGGGCAAGTCATAATCCACACGGCACAGGTCCACATGCATTCCAAACCCGCTTCTCCGTGAACATGTAGGTGGGTATTGTTAACGACTAACTCATAGGCCCATACCTCTTACCTGCATGTACAAATGGCTTATGTTATTATATTTTTCTGAAAGAGGTGCTACCGGAATTGCTGCAGGATGTTTCGGCTGTCATTCGTGATCGCATGTGGTTCCAGCCCATAACCACGTGCAGGTCCGCAGTTTTTTCGATGGGACATTTCCAGGCCGATGGATTGGCCATAGTAGACCCGTTCGATGGCCACCCCATTCGCCAGATTTATCCAGCTTGGACTTTTTTTAATGGGGCCATCTAAAGGGCATCATTTATGATACTCCTGTTGACTCACCGGAGCACCTCGTTGCACAGCTATCCATTGCGGCTGCAAGCGGGCTCAAAATGCCTGTCATTTTCCAAAATGTTCGCCAATCCCTTCTGCGACATTACCAAGCATGTATTGCTGCTGATTGTTACAATTTTGAACATTTATTTGTGAATACTGTATTACTACAATGAAGCACTTTGTGTTGTGATAAACACATTTTCCTCGTGTACTTTTTTTGCGTTCCTGCCTTAACCCGTCACTTTAGACCCTACATTCCTATAAAAAAATGCATGTTTTAGTACGCTCCAACCCCCCTCCAAGTTTGTCTCATGATCTATGAAACACCCTGTATATAAAATTTAATTTAATTTGAATTTGTGTTTATTGTAATATTTTGTACAATTCTGTCAGCTAAAATAACAACAGAATACAGTAAAATTTATTTAATATACACATTAGAGTAGATAGAAGGGAGCCCCTTGTTTTATCTCGAAGTTGTTTCTTTTATCGCCAAGTTCTTGTTTCACTTATGGTAACCTGAGTAGTTGAACGTTATCAATTGCATGATGGGAAAAAGATTTGTAAGGCTGAATGTGGTAAGATTAATTTAAAGTATCTGTATGATTTGGAGTGAAAGGGAAAAAGTGCATTAATTGACTGGTGCGTAAATGAAGGTTTACTTAGTAGCTATTATAAATGTCCTGTTTGTACAAAGGAAATGCGTATGGTCGAACGTTGAAGGATACCAGTACAGTCAAAAGTCGTTAATCCGGACTCGTCGGGACTTCGGCGATTCTGGATTATCGATTTTTCCGGATTATAGATCATCAGTTTAAATCTCGTAAGATGGCATGCAGAAATTCTAAAATTAAAAAT